CCATCCGTGTCTATGCCGTCGACAACACCTTGAACCATGACAAGTGCATGCAGGCTCTTCAAGACGCCGGCATCTACCTGGTCCTCGATGTCAACAACCCCAAGTACTCTATCAACCGCGGCGACCCCGGCCCCTCGTACAACGCCAAGTACCTCCAGAGCGTTTTCGCCACTGTCGACATGTTCGCCCGATATCCCAACACTCTGGCCTTTTTCTCTGGCAATGAGGTCATCAACGACGAGAAGGACACTGATAAGTCTGCTCCTTTCGTCAAGGCCGTCACCCGCGACATGAAGAACTACATGAACACTCGTGGTCTTCGTAAGGTTCCTGTCGGTTACTCCGCTGCAGATGTCTCCTCAAACCGACTGCAGACTGCCCAGTACATGAACTGCGGCTCTGATGACATGCGATCCGACTTTTTCGCATTCAACGATTATTCGTGGTGCAACACGAACTTCAAGCAGTCGGGCTGGGATCAGAAGGTTAAGAACTTTACCGACTACGGCCTTGCTATCTTGTAAGTTGCTACTTACATATTCACTGGTGATCGCTTGCAAGCTAATGTCCTGTCTTTTTTCTGAAATAAACAGCTTGTCCGAGTACGGATGCATTGACAACCGCCCCCGTAAGTTTGAGGAGATCGAGGCCATGATGAGCAGCGAAATGACTGGTGTCTATTCTGGTGGTCTCATGTACGAATACTCGTACGAGGACAATAAATACGGTATCGTAGAGCTCAAGGGTGGGCTCAAGGCCAAGACTGTTGATAAACTGGACGAATACGACTCCTTCAAGTCTGCTTTGAAGAACAACCCTGCCCCTACTGGCGCAGGTGGTGCTGCTTCGACCACCCACTCCGTCAGCTGCCCTACTTCCAATGCTGGCTGGCAGGTCAACCCCAGCCTGGTCCCCCAAATGCCTAGTCAAGCTGAGAAGTACATGAAGGACGGCGCTGGCAAGGGCCCAGGTTTCGATCTCAGCGGCGATGGTTCCCAGAATGCTGGTGATTCCGGCACATCTACCGCTAGTGTCACCGGCGGTGCAGCGTCTCCCACTGGCAGCGGTGCCAAGGAGTCTGACAGCGCTGGCGTCACAACTTTCGGTCCTGTTGAGAAGGCCCCCTTCATCATCACTGGCATGGTAGTTTTCTTCACCCTGTTTGGCACCTTGCTTCTGTAAATACCGTCTGAAAATTGGCGACAATAGGGTTGGTAGAACTTGTGAGTTGTTATGGGGGGACAGGGCCAAGACATGTAAATCAGTTGATGCGAGCATAATGAGAGGAACTGTCTAAAACCCCTGGGGGGCTACGTACTATAAGGGCTATTGGGTTGACACTTTGTTTATTGGTGGTCCGATTGGCTAGCGGTCAGATCGGCCGCCGGGCTTGAGGTAACGATAGTAATTCATACTAGACTACAGCCGCCATGTTCATAAAAGCCATTGCCCCGTGTTGCGATGGAATACGTAGGCTTCGTGTGGGCAATACGCTTGTCTACGACAGGCGTGGTTGTCCATCGCAAAGCACTGAATGATGACAGTTGTACTTTAGTTAGAGAGACTGTGTTGCATCCTGGGATTAGCTGGCAGCGAGATGATGCATGCGGAGTAGCAAACACCAGCAACGTCAACATGTTGTCTACACGCTGATTGGCAGCAGGGTGTTGGCATCCGCAAGAGAGACTCTGTCCCGAGAGTCCGTGGGAGATTGTTTCTAGAATTTTGCCGATGGCATGTGAAGTGTGGCATCAGCGCCCAACCCCCGAGCCAGGGTTAAGTCTGGAGAAGGGGGTCGCCTCCCAAACGGGACTTGACCTCGGCTCCGCGGCGATTAGGTCATCGCAGCCGCTACATGTACGGTCGACCCGCGGCCGAGCTTTCAAACATTGAACAACGAACTTTGACGATCCCCCACCGAGCCTTGAAAATATTTATATATATTGAATTGTTTTCTAAATCGAGGCAGTTTGTTCAGCAATTCCACCCCCCTTTTTTTCAAAAGCACCGCCGAGGAATAATTATCCAGCATACCAGCCACGGCGTCAGTTGGCTCTCCGCTTCGCCATGGCCGCCTACTCGTCGTACGAATTCATGCGCGTGACCTTTCCGTCGGCGTACGTCGCGCACCTGGAAATGAACCGGCCGTCTAAGCTGAATGCCTTTTCGAGGCCGGTGTGGCTCGAGTTTGGGCGCGTCTTTCGCCAGCTCAGCGACGATGCCGACGTGCGGGTGGTGGTGTTGAGCGGCGCGGGGGACAGGGCCTTCACGGCCGGCCTGGACGTGTCGGCTGCTAGTTCCGAGGGGCCGCTTTCCGGCGAGGGAGGCGACTTGGATCCCGCGCGCAAGGCCAAGGCTTTAAGGGGCCACATTGGGGAGTTTCAGGGGTGTATTTCTGAGATGGAGAGGTGTGAGAAGCGTATGTTTTACTGTCTACTGTTGCTTTGCTGCTGCCCGAGGTCCACTTGTCACTCTACGCGGAGGGAAGAAACGTGGCAGGTTGGACCTAATATTGGGGACTGAGCTAACTTGGTGTGCATCTTTTGCTTCGGCGTGTAGCTGTTATTTGCGCTCTGCACGGCGTCTCGCTAGGCCTCGCCATCGACATCTCGTGCTGCGCCGACGTCCGCCTCGCCGCTTCCAACACCCGCTTCGCCGTCAAGGAGGTTGACATTGGGCTCGCCGCCGACATTGGCACCCTCGCGCGCCTGCCCAGGATTGTCGGCTCCACGTCCTGGGTTAAGGACGTGTGCCTGTCTGCCAGGGACTTCTCCGCCCAGGAAGCCCTGCAGGTCGGGTTCGTGAGCCAGGTCCACGAGGACAAGGCGCAGACGGTGCAGGCCGCGCTGGACATGGCGTCGCGGCTGGCGGAGAAGAGCCCCGTCGCGGTGCAGGGCACCAAGGAACTGTTGAACTACGGGAGGGATAATGGCACCGCCGCTGCGTTGCGGTACACGACTATTTGGAATTCGGTCGCTCTGCAGGCCGGCGATGTGCCGAGTGCGTTGATGAGTGTGTTTTCGAAGAAGACGCCGACGTTTGAGAAGCTGTAGATGTGGACAAGGGGGAACGTAACGCAGAATAGAAAAAAACAATACGCTTTCCTGGTGCTCGAGTAGATGTCACAGCCGAAAATACGGCCGCCACCCGGTTTCCATGTGTACTGATATATGAAGGAGCGGATACGGAAATGCGTGCCGCGCTTCGTTGGACCTGAGGTCGAGTTAGGCTTGCCATCCAAGTCAAGTATTTGTCTGGTGTGGCCAACGGTGGACGAATGGCAGGTTGTGGTTCTTGTGGTTATTCGGAACCTGACTCGTCGACGGGCGGTAGGTTTTCCTTGAGGCGCTGTGAATGCTTGTAAGTGGTGTATCGTTTTGCGAGACGATGACAAGCGTGAGGAGGCTAGATTATATGCTCTTGCAGGTGGGTAGGTTGGAACGCACATCTTCGAGTTTCTGCTTGAGCAAGGGAACCATATTCTCCTTGACTACAACCCTCTCCTCGTCCAAGTCCTCAATGATGAAATCATGGTTATCGCTGTCGATGTTCACGATGATGGATTTGATGGAGGGATCGCACTCGATCAGGACGCCTGGAGTTTGCGAGAATGGCACTGGTCAGCTACACTGCTCGTCGGCGGGGAAACGTTGAGCGGATGGTAGGGATAAATATTCGACGAACCTCGGATTGCGCGTGGCATTTTTGTCACTCTTAGCTGCGCCGCTTCGGGTGCACTTGGTGAAGGGCGGGCGACGCGGTGACGCAGCTTCTACCGAGTCGTGAAGGAGACTCAATGTTGTTGGCTGGAAATGGGTGTTTGGTGGTCCGTGAAATCTTGCGGGGCTGGTGGCGCATCCCATGAGTGTGCGAAGGTGCAGGTTATGTAGCGGACGTACTCTTTTCTGATATATTAAATACTTTTATTACCAGATTTAATTATAATATAATAATATATTTTTATATATTAATTTTTGATTAATTCGCTCTATAGTCAAATAAAATTACACACATGATACAAGTATCGTGTAATATTTTTATATATATTTAAAAATATTTAAAGATTAGTTATATATTCTTATATTATTTACTAAGAAAAATAAGTATCTTTTAATAATTAGCTTCTTATTGGCCCACATCCCGGTCCGCTACAAAGCTTCACCTTCGCACACTCAATGGGATAGTGCAGAACAGTACAAGGCGGCGATCGATCCAATCACGTCTTCACCTTCCGGACTCTGCTGCACCCGTCAAGTCCAATCGTCAAGCCGTCATACCGCGGCACGACGGACGCCATCCTACCCGTTAGTCTCAGACGGCCCAAAACAGACCCAAAATTTGCCTTCATCGTCCGTCCCAAACGCAGGAGGCGTCAACAGGAGGCGTAATCATAGCCGCCCGGCAACGTCCATCTCCGGGTCTTGTTGGTTCAGTCTCGCCACCATGCGCCCTCCGCAGGTGCCAAGTGCGTATTTGCAACCATCTGCCGCGTATTAGCCTTTGCGTCACCGGAAAGGCAAGAGTCTGCTTGACTGCGGCCGCCGGACCCCCTCCATGCATGTCACGTCTGGTACATGCTGAGATACGTTCCGGCCGAATAAAAAGGTGGTGTGGTCCAGCAACTCCAGCTGGCTGCTTCAATAATGTCCCGACACCTCGACCTGACCACGTACGTGCGTGCTTGAATCTCAGCGCTCGAGCTGCCGTGGTTTGCGATGCCGGTATTTTCCTCCTTATCAACGGCGGTGAAACATTGACACAAACCACGGGCCTGTCTCTTGTTTGCAGTCCTCTCGTTTGTGACTTCTGGCCGGCACCACCACGGATTCAGACCATCAAGATAACAGCTCCAAAGATCCGCGCCCTAGTACGACGCCGGCATACTCCATCGTCGATATCTCTAATAGCTACCTACCGCATACCCGATACCCTACTGATTTCCCCCACAAAGGCCGTTCCTATTTCCTTTTTGTAGTAAATCCTAGGCCTCCACGTCCGACATGTCCACGACCGACACCTCGGGCATGTCCACAGAACCCTTCGTCTGGGTCATCATTCCTCTTGTTGCCGTCTTCTCTGTCGGTACATTTATAGTGTTCATCTGGAACCGCCAAAGACGGAGACAAAACCCCGACCGGCGTGCCTGGCCCGAGGACAGGGTCCTTGTGGGTAGCTCCTACATCAGATACAGGCGCGGCCTGAGGTGGTCGCCATGGTCAGAGACGCGGTCGGTGGAGGGCTTGAATGAGCTGGGTGAGGCCCCGCCGCCGTACGATTCAAAGAAGCCGCCCGCCCTGCATGATCAACATGCAACAAGGCGCGAGGAGACGGGCGAGGAGGGTTCGGAGCTACGGGACTTGGAGACGGGCGGACGACCGCCAGCATATCCTGCCCAGCCGCCGCTGGCAGTTACAACAGATACGAGGACGTCGTGACCTGTTTGTTTTGGTGGTGGTTGTTGTCGTTTTTCACGTTGGACATGATTATCGCACCGGGTTGTGGGAAAATTGGGAGCTGGCAAATGCAAACACGTGAACGGGGCGTTTGACTTGGTGGACTTTGCGTGCTTGGTAATGAATTGGACAATGGAGGTGAGATTCGGCGTTTGTTACGGCTTTCTCCCCTTTTTCCCCCCTTTCCTTCTGCTTCTTGGCTCATGTATAGTCACAGTGGTATGTGTATTTGTTCTTCCTGCAGATCTACAATCGGACTACATTAATGAAATGAAGAAATCGAGTCGTGTTATGGGGTTACTGCCAAAGCGGCCAGGTTGGTAGCTTCGTGGATGCCTGAAAGAAGAAGATCCTTTCCGTGGGAATCCTACAAAATCCTTGATGTTGAGAGGCGGGCCGATGGGCGCCTTTGCGCATGGCTTCAACGACCAAGCGCAAGATTTTTTTACAGCTTGAGAAATGGTTACCCTTGAGTCGGTGAGCAAGATGATATTTATCGAATTTGGCACTGTAGTATGGTCGAAATGACAACCACACCAGGGCCTAGGACGGTGTTGCCCTGCTTGGGTTCCGGGACAGAGCCGGAGGGTTTCACCACACTAGATCTGTGAAAGTGTTTTGATGTTATTGAGTGAATAACGGAATGTGTTTACCTGAGACGGCCGGTCATGATAACAAACATAGTGCTGGCTGTATCATGGTGTCATGAGCACAGTTGCGGAAGCAGGACTAAAAGCCTTAAATGTCAGAGCTATCACGATGAGCAAATGCAGTGCTACGTTTGTGAGTTACGCCCGTTATGAGTGGGTGCGTAATCTGTATTATATCATTCACAACAACTTTCTACTCTCTTTCACTGCGTATAGGAACGAAATGGCGCCCAGTATGATGTCGTTCCTTGTCATTTTCCCAATATTGTGTACATAGATTAGGTATATGCTTTTACAGGCGGGAAACTAGTGTTCCGTGACTCCCTGCGTATCTTTAATGCTTTCCCTGGGATGCGGGATAACTGATGATGAAACCTGGCCTTGATTCCACTGTCGGGGTGCTCGCAGGAAGATGAGCTTATTTGATTGAGCACAGGGATCTCGATCCGCGATGTGGTGGTTGTTTTTGGTGTATTGTAGTACGAGGTAGCCGCCTTGTCATTCGTCTGGGACCGCGTCGTGTATGAAATCGTATTGGACATTTGCTTGTTGGTGTGCTGCTCGTAATTCATTCGTGTAGTCGTCAAGATTAGCCATGTGCATATCCCTTTGAATGTGCGCAGGTCCAATTTTTGTAACGGACCAGGGTTTTAGCTAATAATAAGTAACTAAGATTTTAAATATATATAAGTATATAAAAATATACTAGTTTATTATTCTTAATAAGGGAATATCTTTAAGTATTTTTAAGTATCTTTAAGTATTATAAAAGAAGAGTGGGTTGAATACATCAATTGGACCTGCGCACACTCAAAGGGATACAGGGTGATGCAGACAACCTATAAAACAATGGAGACAATTCGTGCAACGGTCCCCTAACAGTTCGAATACTCATTGCTCGACTGCGTGCTGTTGATTTGATGTACATCTCTTTACATGCCGATAGTTTGGAGTGCATGGCATCAACCGGGTGTACACAGCCACATGCGTACTCGGTCCTTCATACTCAAGTCTGGTACAATACAATCAAATAATAACCACCTGCCATGCCGCCCTTTACATGGGATTCGATGTAACCTGGTGATTTGCCGCGATATTCAAACAAGGTTCATATCCCCAACCCTTCAAGCTCCGGGAACCATGCCAAGGGATACATTTGGAATGCGTGCCTCCAAATCTGGCGCATCACCAGCCGCCAGCACTACGAATTGGGACGGTGAATGGAGACGGTGGAATCAAAGTGCGGAGGCAACGTGCCAAGCCCAAGTGTTTTGGCCGGCATCCAAGAAGATAGCCGAACAAAAGAGGTTGGACTCGCTGGACTTGGTCCGGGACAAGCCCCAAATGAACCGTCTGATCGTCATGGCCCGACGCTACGTGGCGGGCATTCGGAGATTCTCAACCAGATGACTGAAAAAAAAAAAAAAGACCTCATTAAGCTTGACCGAGTTTTTTTTAACGTGCTTCCATCTGACGGTTACCATGGCAGCGAGGCAACTTGAGCCTGAGGTACAGAGAGTGTGTACAAGTGATTGGTCGGCGCGGGCTCGTCTGTGGAGGTCGCATTTGGAGAGGAGCCCTGGATGTGGCTGCACATGTGGGCTTGGCAGCATTGAAATTGAATTTGGGTCCCGAACGGGCCTCTGTGGAGAAGAGGAACGCTCGAAACTTTGTGGCCACGGGGTGTTTGGCAAGGCGCATGGCGCATAGCTTCAATTATCGACATCACGGCATGTAGTTTTCGAATGGTACGCAGCGGTGCTTGGTTGGGGACGATGGTGTCTGCCGAGCTCGGACCCCATTGTGACGAGTGTTGTTGGAACGACCGGCAGCTTTCCCCGATGGTCTGATGCTGTTTTAATTTTTAATTTTTAATTTTTCAATGATCATCTCTGGTGTAAAAAGAGGAACCGGAGCGGACATGGGTCAAACAGATTTTAGTTTGGGGACGGACGAGGGAGGCATTGACAAGAGGAAAAGAAGGCACGATGGAACAATTCGTTGCTTCATGTGCAGAAGCTTCTTCACCTTGCAGAATTTTTTGCAGAGCTGCGCATTTGTGCACAGACTTGGTGCGCCAGGCCATCTGGAGGCGCATGCAGTTGGACGGGCTAGTGAGGCGTGTCATTCGGGTTGCAGGTCAAGATGTGCTCAAGATTTCCGGTGTTTGTGGTTATCGGTGCCGCGGCATTGATGAGTGGCAGTTGTACAAAAAAAAAAAGTCTCAAGTGCTAGCCGCAATCACAGAGGGGAGGACATGGGACCAACCTTTGGAAGTCAACATGGCTCTTTTTTTTTTTTTTTTTTTCAACCTTCCCAATTTTCGTGACACACAAACGCCGCTCCTCATTTCCTTGCTGTCGCCACCGTCACCTCCAGCATTCACCATGACGCCACGGCTTGGTACCAGACTGCGTATCCGAATCAGACAAGATCGAGGCCAAACAGTCTGGTTCAACGGTCCAAAAGTCCCAGGTGCCATCAATTGATGTCGCTAGCGTGCTAGCTTACCCGAGCTGCCCGCGCGCCCACCCGACCAGCCACCCCGGTGCCGCAGAGCTGTCTGCAGGCTATCTGCAGGCTGCCTGCAAGCTTCATTGGATCAGCTCGCCGGCACCGCCAACTCATCAATCCAGCCCCCCGTCAATCGGGGCCCTGTTTGGACAATAACAAAGCGTCGTCGTCCTATCGTCGAGCCCTGCCTCTCCGTAGATGGCTTGCGCATTTGGTTGGGCTGCCACCGCCCCTCTGACGGTCTGAAGGTCCTGGGAGTCTGTGGGCCTCTCACTTTGCTCGCTCTCCGCCTCCGCCGCCACATCAATTGATCACTCGCACTCCATCATCTTGGGGTTCACGCTTCGAAGCCGGCCGATGCTTGCTGCTGCTGCCGCGCTGCTGCTGCTCCTCCTGCCGCTAGTTTCGCTGCCGCTTGCTGGTCGCCCGTTCGCTTCACCTGTCTGTCGCCCATGGACTAGATCCCACCTCTCATCTTCTTCCATCACATCGTCATCCTCGCGCATGGTCTGCTCTCGTCTTGCTGCTAGTCATCTGCTGTCTGCGACCAAAGTCCACACAGAGTTACATACGGGGTTCCTCACACTTGTGGCGAACCTGCGGGAACACCCTTGCTGCCGCTCCCAACTTTAGCACCAGGCCAGACAAAGCCCGTCTCTAGTTGGACGACAACGACAATAGACAGCCTAAGTCGTTGGAGACTTGGGACACGGCCTCTTTTCGTTGGTGTGCTCAACGCCGTCACCCCGTTGCCACAGCACTGGCCTTGCGCATGGTTCGACTTGACACCACTGCTCGCACAACCGCCTCTTTCGTTTCCCCAAGCGTAACGTCTTGAGCTGCGACCTTCAACGGCGGGAACAACGCCTTTCGTCTTTTTGTCCTTTCTCTTTTTTCCCTCTTTTTGCTCTAATACCCCTTCTTGAATTTGCGCCGTCTCCTTTTTTCCAAGATTGCAAGATTGGGGACACGACTGATTGCGTCAACCGTCGCCCACTGTGGGTTCGTCGCATGTCCAAAATCCGAGATACAGGCAGCAGTCTTTTGTGTTGTGTGACTCTGGCTGACCTTTTGACCACTGCCCAGGTTTTGCTTCTTTCAGCAGTCTTGTTGCACCGTTCCGCATGTCTTGATACCATCTCGGCCTTTTGATATCCTCAACTGCCCGGGACACGGTAGCCCGCCTTGTTCCTGATCCTCAACGCTGCGAGGCTGTGAAATAAGGAGCCTCTGAGGTCGGCTCAATCCCCATTCCTGTTCCCCTCCGCACGTCAGCACAATGGGCGCCGAATCTAGGAAAGTACCACCGCTTCCTGCCCCGACTGAGACTGACACGACAACTCCGAGCGAGGTGGCAACCGACCTGTCCAAGCCTGGCGACGAGAAATCCTCCTACTCTATTCCCGAGGATGGTACCCCAGTCACTATCCGTACTCGCGGCCACAAATCCAGCAAATCTCAAACGTCCTTACTGATTGAGTATTTCGAGGGTGGGAAAAGCGGCTCTGGTGGCCAAGAACGCAAACCAAGCGTCCGCGTCCGTCTGACTCCGTCCAAGAAGAGCAAAGGCGATCATATCCAAGTGACCGAGACCAAGGGTTCCCGCAAGGCTTCCCTCACCCGCCGCATTCCTCTTGACCAAGCCATCGCATCTCGGGAAATCGAGTTGCACGACGGTGAGGACGCAAACAGCATGACATCGTATGCTTCGGCAACCGAGGAATCTAATGTTTCGAGAAATCCCATCGACATTGAAATAGACCGCAGCCACAGGCGAAGGCGCCCCGCGAGTCCGTTGATACCCTCTGCCGAGCCGTA